GATAAAGGCGATTCCCACAGTGTCCGTAGAAAGTGTTGCCATTTTGTCAAGTGTACATTAAGTGTTTAAGTGATGTGATGAAACAGTCCTATAAGGAGCTAGTGCGAGAACTGCGCGTATTTTATGGTTTATGGATGATATGCTGCTCTATGTTGAGGTGTGAATTATCATGTGGCATGAGTTGCTGTAACTCTTCGACATGATATGTAACGAGCTGGTCGTCCAAGGCAATCTATTTGGTGAAGGCTACAAACGGTCATCACAGCAAGCACGTAACTAGCACTTCAGCCCAGGGAGGGAGCCACTGCTTGCCAGGGGGTTCCATCCCATGAAGTCACGACACGCTTTGGCTAGGGACTCCCAACTCTGCGCTTTTACCACAGTTAGCTGACTCTTCCTACACAGAGGGTCACTCTCTTTACACTATTTCGTCTCAGATCAGCGCGGGCCTCTTGGTCGATTTGAAGGTCACGTACGTTTCCGGAAACCTTGCAACAACCTCATCATCGTGGAATCCCAATGCAACAAAGGAGATACTCCAGAAAGCGTCTCTCTCTTGGCTTTGTCCTCCCTTGGCTACGTTCTCGCGTCAGAGCGTTCACGAATGTGTAGCCCCCTTGGAGCTAGCGGTGCAGCGGTGGAACAATGCTGTTTACGTCATGCATGTTAGCCGCGAGCGCCCGGCGTCTGTTGCAAGCTCACCAGCCGGTACAGCAATCCCTAGACCGATTCTCCGTCCGACCGACGGACGTTCCTATCTCTGCCAGGCGGTGCAAGTTCCAAGCGATGCCAGGAAGGCATAGCCGGCAGCAGGACATACCATGCGTCTATACACGATCAATGTTCGTGCAGACAAGGCATCATCACCAAATGAATTAAAAATGCCCATCAAAGATGGAAATCATGACAAAAACTCCTCGTAACGACGCTCGTCACATACGGCGTGCATGTCGTATCAACACGCTTCGCCCCACCATGTTCTCGTGATTCTTGTCACTTGAAAAGCAGTTGTTTTGGGATGAGCTTCAATTCATCTCCATTGATCCCATGTCACTCTCTATTTACCCTTCTGGTGGATTGATGGCGTGATGCGAGCGATGTGCCGAAAGGGATGTGTTAGGGGAACACCTTCGTATACCATCGCTCTTGTAAGCGTTCGCATGAGGCGATTATTCGCCGACTGCCTTGCCCGTTTTTTAGAGTTTAAACTTTCAAAGAGATTCACTTATGATGGTGTTGACAGCAGTACTATTCATAAAATAATCTGATTACAATTGAAAGCATGAGACCTCATACGAGCGGTACACTTGGGGCTCGAAAAGTTCCTAAATACTGTTATCTTGTTTAGTAATAGAGGCTTTCAAACCAGGATTGATCGAGTGCCATGCTTCTCTTCCCTAAAACTGCGAACGGGACAACAAACAGGTGATAATGCTACCCACCTCAACGCACGGCCGAAGCTCTGCCTTAACCTCTCAAAAATCATGTTCAGTTTTGTCCAGAATGGGACCGCTGACAGTATCTACAACGCAAAAACTATTAATGATAATATGCGTGGAAAACAACACAGCGAATCGCACCACGTCACATCTATCGCATCCTACCAGGGGCGGAGTTTTACAAAATGAGTTGGAGGAAGGGGCTGAACAGTGAATAATGACCCAGCTTGTTCCCAAATTATGCCAACAAGCAGGTTTCGCCGCACCCCTGGTCCGCTTCCTTCGAAATGTTTGGGGGGGGGGGGGGCTGAAGCCCCTAGCAAAATAGGAAACTTACATCCCTGCACCCCTGTTTCCAACGCTTCTCCACTTTTTACCATACCCAGGTCACTCAGCTTGAGTATGTACACAATTTGGCGCTGCCACAATCCCATGGCATACAGATCACGCCCTGCATAAAACCGCACACTAATCAGGTAACCTAAGCCCCACGTATCAAATGTAATCATAACGCTCATCAGTTCGATGGTACGTTATATTCCGTACTAGGTTCCTTTTGCTACAAATTGCGTTTCCCAAATGTGCAGGTGCCTCTGGAAATGCTGAACTGCTGAGGCGTCCGGCCAGTACGCGCTGCAAGGCACGTTCATAATGGAGGAATATAAACAAAGTAGCCCTGAAGTCATATGCCCTAACATATAAAGGTTGTCATTTGGTATGGCAAGAAGTTCACGGAACGTCATGCCGACGTGGTAACAGCAGCCAGCCCCTAAATCTTTTTTGCTATTATTCAGGAAACACTGAAAGATGGGGGCAATCCGTGTAAAGGGATTCAGGCCACTGAAAGCAATCATTCTCGACTTGGTGCGTGGAAAGCTGTACAGTGGCACTCGAATTGCACTGTATATTGTGGCTAGCCGCTGCTCTTCGCGCTGAAGTATTTCTCCGAACTTTGAGACGCCAACAACCATATAAGGGTGCCAAGATTACGACAGTGCATAAGGTCACAACGCTACGGCACGTGAGCAGAAAAGGCGCAGAAATGACAACATATCCGCTAGTATGCGTTATTGGGTCTGAAAAGCATGTATTTAGGCCACAATGTTGACCAATTCCAATAACGTCAGGCTGGAAAACCTCTTTTAGGAGGCCCTCTTGTTTTAAATAATACTGGGTCTGTTAGTCGCCCACCACTTCGGCAATATTACGGCACAGAAACTGCATCCATTTATCAAGTGGTCATATTGCAGCATCATTCAGCGACGTCATCCGCCGAGACACTGGCCCATCTCATCCCGGAGTTAATCCGACACTAGTCCCCGTAAGAGATGCACTGTGCCCCGCACCAGCGCAGTTAGCCAACAGTGCGGCCAGACCCACACCACTGACATCGCAGGGGGGTCGCTAAAGCCCTGGCTTTCTGTTGGGTAGATCACAAGTTGTGACTGCGACTGGATCCGGTTGGTTAAAACATCGATTATTCATGGGCCCGAAGAAGAGCAAATAAGCATGCACGCCCCGATGATTAATTCGTTGTGAATGAGCCGATATTATGCATTAACCATGGCGTCATTACGCTGCCTTCTCTTGAAAACGCGATACCACAGTTTTGACACGCAGTGATGTATGGAACCATGAGTAGTCGCCGTTACCGCACACGACCGCATAAAATAAAAATGCCTGTTGAGCAATGGTACCATCTTACGGCATACATTCTGTAACACTATCACACCGTTAGACTATTCATAACCTGGCCGCCAACAGTCAGGTTAAAGATATATCAGGGAAACAGGCTTTACCATGAACATGGGTAGTCACTAGGCCCCAGGTACAGGGTTTAAACTTCTTTGCATTAAGGTTTAGATATAAATTTTTCGCAATGCACGTCCAAACCATCATCCAAACCTTGACGTCCGAGCCGAGCCGTCAATAGACTTAAGTGATCGATTATTCAAAAATATACGCAATGCTGTCAATCGATTGTGCAATTAAAGTAATGAACGTTTTCATTGGTGAGATGAAGTAAGAATGTCAGTTATACATTATCACACGCTACGGTTTCACGGGAGTGCAAACTTCCACGTGTTTTGGAAATAACTGATTTGAATTGCCTTGTAATGGGTGCATGTAAACTACTTTTAAGTGTAAAAGCATACCATTGAACGGAAAATGACTGGATATCCCGGAATGAATTGGTTTTGACCATCAGTTTTATCCAGGAAGTTTCTTCGTGCCCTACGACGCAGTGGTCGCTGCTGGAATACGCCGGAGAATATTTCAAATATTCCTATTTGATCAAATACGAAGCATATGTTGAACAATGCGCAATACACCCTTGTCGTAGAAGTCGTTGAAGCAAATTCCCAGCATCTCGTTCCATTTCTCAGATACGCCTCGAATGCCCGGGTCGATGAAGGGTCCGGGCTCCATTTGACGGCCCGAGCGGGCTCACCGGCTAGCGCCACCCTGCACGATGGCACGGCCGGCCATACTCGACTCTCGGTGGCGAATGACATCGATATCCCCTAAAGGCGCTGATTTTGAAAACGTTGCTTAGATGTCCTTAAAATTCCAGCCTCAACCGCATATTCACGACTTGACAGCTTCAGACAGCTCCAAATCCAGCGTAATCCGAATAAGATGGAAGCTGTTCCCCAGCGCAGCGGAATTTCTTCGTTGCGGATATCTCGGAGACCCGTATACCCGGACATCTCTTAGCCTATCAGGAGTCTCTTCCGCCCAGTACGTCGTCCTCATTGCTTCCATTGTGTCAGTGACTCTCGCGCATTCTCACCTGCCGTGCCCTCCCGAAAACCATTGTACAGGCGTGAAACCCGCTGGCCACATCGATCTCCGAAGGGATGGCGGATGCTAGAATTTGAACCCGGATCTTTAGCGTAGAAATCCGGGGTTGAGAAAAGGTTAGTGACATGGCGCCAACAATTCAACAGTTCCTAAAATTTTAGCATATTCTTCGAAAGAAAACGCGCTATTTAAAAATTACCTTATTTTAGTTCTTCCATAAACAAATGAACACATTTGGTATGAAACACAGTGTAGTATCGTACAATGTAGCGACGCTAAGACACTTTTCACCAGGGAGACATCGGAATGTGTTTATATTCTGTAGTTTATTGTATCCAAATGATCAGCAGTACTGTCACGGAACTTCTAACATGACGCTGAAACCGGGCCCTTTTTACTATCATGAGACCTCTAAATTCAAGCATGTGTCATTAATTTACCATGTTCCGCCCGACATCTGTTAATATCGCGTTTTCTCCACTGCCAACTATGGCGGGAGGCATCCACAAATGCCCCGCAACTGATTACTAAATACAGCTATGCAATATTGCACCGGCGTGTTTTGTGCTCAATGTAACCAAATTTCGGACTCCGAATATAAGCTTGGGTGTGGTGCTTCTAAGCAATGCGTTACGGATTCATACCAAAAGTAAAAACGTCATCAAACTTAGGTAGCTCACTGCTCGTCGTATTCAGTCTACAATCCCAGCTGGGCGGAGCAGACCCCGCCGCTTTTCCCCGCAATCGCTTGCTCACCATCTGCGAAGCCTGCCACCGCCGAGGCGGTCACGGTCAGCAGCAGCTCCAAGGGCCTCATCGGCAGCGCGTCGAGGGCAGTGTCGACATGCCCGCCGGGCTTCAGGGAGCTCACGCACACTGGGCCGGGCTCGAGCCGCACGGCGAGACTGGCCGACCGACGGCGGCCGGACCCCCGCCCCAGCCGGAGACGCCGGCGCCGGCGCCGACGCCGACGCCGACGCCTCCGGTGGGCTCCGGCGCTCCGGCGGCAAGCACGCGGCCCGCACGGCCGGAGGCACCACCAGCACGCAGTGAGGCAGCAGCGCTACAGGCGCAAGGCATCGGAGAGTGCGCGCGGTCCAGGACGGACGTGACCGGCCGCTGCCTGTCAGACCCTGACAAACTCTTGGATGGAATGGGCGTGATTGTGGAGTATTTCAGAGGCCTCGTATATAACCATGACGATTGCATCCCGCGCAATGGTTCAGGAAGTCGTAGGGACTTGAACATCCCGAGGAAAACGTGCTTCTATATGTCATGCATAGTCCCTTGAATTACTAGAACTATTCTTCCGAACCTTTATTTTACTGACAAGTGACAGCATAGAATGTTCGCCGTTTGTTGTGCTGTTTGGCGCATCCCATTGTTATGGCAGTTTCCTGAACAGAGAAGCTCTTAGTACCGTGCTGTCATGCATTGACAGTCCTCGAAAAGAAAAGTTTCGGCTTTCTGAATAATGCATTTGCACGTTGCTGTTGTGAAACTTCAGCACTGCTTTCGTGTTGCGTTGTTGCGGCGATGTGGTGTTTCAGCAATAAACCGCGTTAGCTTACACGCGATGCGGCTGAGTGCATTCACCGCGTGTTTTCTACACATTATCTATAGTACTTGAATTAATCTGTTACGTTTGACCTACTCGGTTGGGTTAAACGATGCCCCCGCCGTTTCTTTAAGCTTCTACATATCGGCAGATGATACCCACCCGCTCCGGTCGAAAATGGTGTTTGAACCATCCAGTTGGGGTTAACATGTCCTCGAGCTGTTTCCCTAAGTTGCTGTGGTTACAGGTTAACATCCATTCGTCCAAGCCCAACTATGCGTCACTTTGATCCAAGGGTTGGTTTGAAATCTTCTCATGATATTCCATGAGCGTAACTTTTGTTCAAGGCTTTATTTTTTCTTCCTCTTTTGGTGTCGTCACCTTGAATTTTGCCTCCGCCGAGCATGCAGGATAGTTTGTCATAACTCATGCTGTCAGTGTTGGCATATGAATATATATATATATATATATATATATATATATATATATATACACAAATCTTTACACATAAGTGAATAGTTGTGTATATAACAAGTTTTATCATTAAGAACTGACGTATATCAACACATGCTGATCAACTTATGAAACTTACATTAGTCGGGACGCGTCTCACAGCACAACGGCTGCATCATCAGGCAAAAAAACACACGCGCTCAGTGTAAACCATTAATGGTTTAAAACTTGATAGACCAATTGAAGATACTGAGCTTGCACATGCAATGACACACGACCAACCCCCAATTCAACAGACATATATCATATATTATCACAGCCTCTGACGGATGTGATAGAGTTATGTTATCTAGCACTGGCTATTTCTTAAAAATAGATGACAACTCTAAGGTTCTCAAATTAAGCAAGGATTATGTCCGGTGTGATATGAATTCCTGTGCCTGATAATTAGAATCGAGGGGCGTACAGGTCAATAAATCGATGATTCTCAACAGGAAACCGTTGTTCCCGAGTTGATGTTGAAATGCTCCCGAAAAATGATTCCGGAATCACTCAAGCTTAGTTCAATATGAACAGCCATCTTTAGGGCATACCGTCTTAGCTCTACTTACCGGTTCTCCCATGCTGATATCAATGATTTAAAGAGGTATTTCGGGAACAGCAGCTTCCGCTTGGGCAGTATCAATTTATTGATTCAAAGGCCGCTCGATTCTAGGTATCATTCTTCGTCCAAGCCCTTTGACGTTCCGAAGTTAAAAAATTATTTTGTTCTGCTGACTATGGCTTGCATTCTGAAAGCCTCAAACGTTAGTTGATCGGTCTCCTTTCAAAATCCTATCCATTTTTAGATCCTAGGATTGTTCTGGCAAATTCCTTCTCAGTTTGGTCCTCCTTCAAACATAAAGAAAGACTACCTAAATGCTGCCAATCTACAATTGTACATGAGTTTAGATATGCCTCATGTGGGGCATCCTACATAGACTCCAGCCTTCGGAGCTTGCACAGTTACATTCCGCAGCATGTAGGTAAGTCTATCCGGACGGGAAAATGTCTTGCAAAACCTGACCCCTCCCCATACAAGAACATTCATTTACATGTGACACCCCAGTTTTGGCTTCCAATTTTAGTGCCTTGGGCAGGGCAATTCCTCGTTTGATTCGAGAATGCTCATTTTCTTCAATCTTCAGTCATGTTCTTCTTCATTTTTGATAAACGTGCAGCGCTAAATAGCACGGCTTCATCGTATACATTAGAAATTGTGATAAAAACGATATATATCTGCTGAATAGGGGGTTTGACGTGTGTCATTGCATGTGTATATGCATTTTAAATTTGTCTGCGCGTATTTTAAACCATACTGGCTTACACTGAACGCGTATGTTATTTTGTCTGATGATACAGCCGTTGTACTGTGAAACGCGTCACGAGTAGTATAAGAGAGAGAGAGAGAGAGAGAGAGAGAGAGAGAGAGAGAGAGAGAGAGAGAGAGAGAGAGAGAGAGAGAGAGAGAGAGAGAGAGAGAGAGAGAGAGAGAGAGAGAGAGAGAGAGAGAGAGAGAGAGAGAGAGAGAGAGAGAGAGAGAGAGAGAGTGAGAGAGAGAGAGAGAGAGAGAGAGAGAGAGAGAGAGAGAGAGAGAGAGAGAGAGAGAGAGAGAGAGCGAGGGGGAGAGAGAGAGAGAGAGAGAGAGAGAGAGAGAGAGAGAGAGAGAGAGAGAGAGAGAGAGAGAGAGAGAGAGAGAGAGAGAGTGAGAGGAGAGAGAGAGAGAGGGCGAGAGATTGCATATATATATATATATATATATATATATATATATATATATATATATATATATATATATATATATATGAGTATATATGCATACATATAATGATATGTATACACATCATTTTGCCGGTGCTGTTGGTGTCGGCATGGTCGTATCGGACACGCGTGACAAGGTGCTGCACGAAATGAACAGTTGAACCGCCCGGAAGCCCACACCGTCCTTAGCAATATTGTGCTCGACGGAAATGCTTTATAACTTCCAAAACGGCATTCTGGCATGCCCCTGACGCCGGCGAAAGGAGCTGTAAGGCTGAAGATGCAAAGTCAAAACTTGAAGAAAATACCCAAGCGATCCATGCGTTGTTCAGTTTTAGGTTAAAACTAATTATTTGCGTCATTCCGAATGCGTTCGTACATGATTTAAACGGTTAAAAACAATCATGCGGCTTTAACCCGTCGAAACACCAAGGCTGTAACTCAATCAACAATGTTCTGACTGAGATCAAAACTGCTGAGCAGGATTCAGTGCATCAGATAGGGCTTAAAGGCAGTACTTGCTCCCAAATTGGGTGATGCAAGTGTTAATTTGCCCTTCATCTGTCGATATGTTGTGACTGACGAATTTTTGATGATAAGTGCGAGAGGGCGGGAGCTGGGGAGTTTAGACAGGCCAAGAAGGCGTCATGGTGTGTTGGTTGTGAAACACCAGGCACTAAATATAATCGTCAGTCTACTAACTCCCATGCGATTAATCAGACAAAAGGCAACTTGCGCTGGTAAAATTGAAGACCTCAAGCTGCGCACGTTTGAGAACAGTCCAACCGCGTGGCGTTCTTGCAAACAAAAACAACTAATGCTTGTTCTAGCTTATTTTCCTGAAATAAATGCGACGTGGAGAAGGCAGTGATAAGATGCTGTCGCCCACGTCATCAGCTTAACTGGCAAACAAATTGAAGAAAGGGAAAGCTTAGCACCAAACACTGATCTGCATGTAGCGTTGTCCAAATGTTCGGCAACTAGTGCACAAGAAAAGGTTGCATCGCGTGCTAGTTTAGGGTATTTTCTACGACGGGCATCCGCATCGCAAGAGCACATATCGGGCTGCCCTGCCTGGGCACGAGGAGGCGTCCGACTACAGCCCCGGCTTGGTTGGCGCCGGTGAACTCCGTGTCCTGCCCAGCCACCGTCACCAGGCCCGGTTCACCAAGGCCCTGCCTCCGCCGCCACTCTGGAGCGGCAGTATATGCCGCCGGCGGACGCGCTTTCAGGGCCCGTGCCGACCTCATCACAGCCGCGCCACTCGCCAGAGTGCTCGTAAACGTCAGGGCCCTGTTCGCTCCGTACTCAGCAGCGGTTTGTGGCGATTGCACCGATGTTTGATCGAAGTTCTCACAGCCAATCACGGGTGGGGGCGTAGGTAGGGCTTGTGTTTTGAGAGCGCAGAGGAAGTAATCACCTTTTCGTGCGCGGCAATTGAGTGCCTGTGTTAAAAAAACCGCTGGTCAGGAAACTTCGTGTGACATGTGGCACATTTTCCGCTGGAGAGGCATCACATATTGACTGGACATATTTCTTGTACGAAAGCGGACTATCATCAATAGCGAATGGCATTTATGTGCATGCGTGTTGTAGCTTTTACTGACACGCTCTCTCGTTTTCAGCGCGCGTTGAAACTATGGTGACTTGGCTCTTCCCACCTGATCGCCTGACGAAGGACTATACAAACCGCAGGCACCGTACACAAGGCTTATGTAGCGACCGTCGTCGCCGGTGGGACATTGGCGAGCGGGTGGGTCAGGTCGCGGCCGCATATCTCAAATGGTCAAACCGAGGGGTTTGATGATAGCGGAAACGATCCGTATGGGAAAATACCGCACCGAGACATTGTTAGAAAAGCTGCCAACTTGTCAGTCATCAGAGCCACTGATGCTCTCCTTGGGGTTTCGAAATTGTGGGCGCGATTTCTAAATGAGCCGCGAGCGCGATCACGGTTGTTGTAGAGCGCGATCACGGTTGTTGTAGAGCGCGATCACGGTTGTAGAGAGCGATTAAAGGGTATCGGTGCTGTAGGCCTCGGCAAATGTCACGGGCATTCCGCAATCCCGCACGTACG